ATCATGAGTTGTAATTGTTTTATACATTTAGTAATAAATTATGTGATTTTCAGATATTTTCGTTGGTAAAAAAAATCCGGCTCGATAAGGAAAGAAAATAATTATAATAAAAAATAGTCAATTTTTGTTTTAGAGTTTTTTAAATTCAAAGGTGGTTGTGATATTCATTTAATAAATTGTTAATAATTTGATGTTCATTTTATTTATTGTTAGTTATAATTTGAAAAAATTCAATTTATTAATAAAAACTTATTACTATTTTAATAATAATTGTTTTTAATACAATATAATTTAAATAATCAAATCAAGAAAGAATACCATGACTAACTCGAATCCACGTTATACAATAATAAAACCTTCACTACTTTTTGATGGTATATTTCAATGCATGTTGTTTACGAGAAAGTGACTTTTTATTTAGACTTTGTTTTTAATAAAAAACATTAATTATTAAACCTTCAGCAGCCAAATTCGAAGATTTTGTGATCTGTTTGATTCATTTCTGAAAAAAAGGATTTATAAAGATGTTGCTTAATTGAATTAAAATATAATCAAAACTATTAGTTGTCACTTACTTCATATTAAGATCATAGAAAACTAAATGAAGTATCATTTTTCTACTTCTAAAACTGATTACTTGTTGTGGATTATTAATTTATGAATTATAAGTAGTAACTGTTTAAAATTGTTTTGTGTTCCAAGTAAAATACATAAATTATATACATCAAAGTAATGTAAGTAATTATTATTGATGTTTTGTATTTAGAAAAATATATAATCAAAATGATTTTTATTTTTTATGTTGAATGAGTTCCACGTAAGAAAATGATGTTTTTCCTGGTTGTTTTTTGTTTGATATTATCATTGTGAATCGAGTTATTGTTTTTTTTAAACTTCGAATTAAAAAACATATGTATTACCATAAGTTAATTGCGTGAATCAAATTAATTGTTAAAGTTTTTTTTACAAAAAGAAAAATGATACATGTATATCACAACCGCCCCAACAAATAAATTCAAAAACATTTTTAATTCAAAGTAATGTTATAAACCACCATCCTCAGGTTAAAGTCAACTTAGAGAAAGTTCATTTGAATTTTTGAAATAAGCTGAAAATCTAATTTGTTGTAAATAAGAATTTTAATAAACAATGAGATTAGTTGAAATTTAATATAAAGTAATATTTTGAGAATTATAATTTAAAAATAAATTCCTTTTTAAAGTTTTTCAATAAATATACAAATTGTTTATTATCTTACTTTAGTGTGGTGATAAATTTATTATGTGAGTTAATTAATTAACAAAAATTTTAATATTCAAATGCAGACACTTTTTAACAATAAAATATATTTAATGTTTGTTAATTTACATTTAATCAACTTAAATTTGATGTAAAAATAACTCAGATTGTTGGATTTATAAATAGAGATATAATCCCGACATTTGTTTTGTTGTTCCTGTTGTTTTTATAAATATTATTTTTAATCAATAAAAAGTTATTATTTGTCATAATGTTTTATATATAGAACAAAGACTCTTTAAAACAAATGTAAAAAGGTAAAAAATCAATTCAAATGATTATTTTGCATGTTAAAAATATATGATATTTTAATAAGGATTTTATAGAATATTTCAATATTTCTTATTTTTAAAATACCAGTTAAATATTAACAAAAAAATAAAAAAAACAACAAAATGTCATTTCAGTGTTTTATAAAAATTGCTTTTGTAAATCGATAAATATAATAGTAAACACATTGAAAATCGTTAAACATACTTTAATTAATTTAATTTAAAAATCAACATCGTGTTTTATTTTAAATAACAATTTAATTGTATTTTTTTTATAAAAAATGACTGTTATTTTTACAGTTTGAATAGAAATATATAAATATTTAATTATACATTATAACATTGTTTGTAAATGTAAAACAATTGAAAATAAGATTATAATTAAATGTTGTTTGGAGTTTGTTTTTGAATAGAGAATACAGACAATTTGTGCGCATTCAATGCATAATAAACCATAAAAAGTCAAAAAAGCATAAAAGATCCAATGTGTTTGTATTTCAACGTTGTATTAATAACTTATCGTATTTTTTATCGTAAAGAAACACAATAATTAAAAAAATATAACAATTTAATATTTAAACACAAATTTCATATTCAATCACAATGAAATGCAAGGTTGTTTTTTCTACTTTATTTTACGACATATAATATTGTACCATATAACAATGTATAATCAAATAGATGCCGGCTTGAATTCAAGTCGGCATAAGGCCACTGTGTCCCCCAGTCCGTATCCATGTACCCGAGTTCCCGAGCTCCCAAATTCCCCAGTCCCGAGCCCGAATGTAGCAAACAGTTGGTTGTCAAGATATCCCAATGTCTGGTTGATGGACTCACAGCAGTCAGACTAATGTAAGAAGTTGGAGAAGCGTCAAATCTCGGGTTAAATTAACAACGAATCAAAGTACTACTTCTTGGAGATCAACAAAGAAATTGCCAAATTTGCCGCACTGACATTGAGAAAACAACCAAATAGGAATTAAACCAGAGTGAAACAAATTTCGCTCATTCCCACCTACATGTCAGGAGTATTCTTTGCAAAGAATGAAGTGTTTGAGGAAGAAGTTGAGTGGAAAACAACAGTGTGTTTGGGGGAAGATGTCTTCTGTAGACTCTTTTAAAAAGTTGTTAAGCAGTTTTGTGGGAATTAAAATACGTTGCTCTTCTCTTGTATGACAGACAAGTTTGGCTAATCTGTGAAAAAGAAGGCGGAAATGAGACTGAAGTCAATTTCTATGTTGCTGCCAACTTACGGATGTATGAGCCGTAAGTTATCTTAAGTAAGTTAAGATACAATTTGGAAATAAAATAGGACTCCTTTGGTGTCACTCCCACTCGATAACAAAAATTTGAAAACGCGATTTAATTACGATTAAAAGATGACTTGAGACAGCAAAGAACTCAATGGAGGCGTATGTTTATTTATGTCATTCAGAGTGTCATTGGGATATTTCCCGAATGGATACAAACTTTGGGAATTAAAAACGTTGAAAGTAATTTTAATCTATTAAAATTAAAACCACATTCAATATAACAACTTTCCCAGAATTTAAAGACACCTTAAATTTGTGTCTAAGGCGTATCAAATCAAACTCCAAAGCTGTAAAACTTTCGAAAGATCGTTTAATGAACACAGAGAAGCTGTAATGATGTAATTTAGTCTATTTCATTCTTTTTATTTTGTTAGTATCTCAAACTATCGTCTTTTCAATTATAAAATTGATTAAATAATTTTACATTCTGACTTAATAAATGCCAACGAATTTTAATATTTTTTAATATAAAATATCATAAAAGTCAAACTCAAGCAACAAATATATATTTCCAACTTGCCTTATTACTAATTACTAATTGTAATACCTGAAGGCATCAGCAAACTCGACAGAAGTGACTTTATTGAATGTGTGAACGTGAATGAACCGACTCCACCAAAATCACTAAAAGAGATTGAACAAAACACTTTCAGTAATATGTATGATATCCTCTACTTCTCTGGAGACCCAATATTCGTGAAGTATATAAACAAACAATTGTTGTTTAGAGTGAACATACCAGATTTTGTAACAGTCATACCTAAAGAATGTTTTAAATAGTGTGTTCATCTCCAGGATGTGAAAATCTTAAATACACTTTTAAGCTTTAAATGAAAAGTATTTGCAAGATGTATTCGACTCAAACCAATCACCACTCCTCAAAGTGTGACATCAATCGTAACCGATGTATTTGAAGGTTGCAAACCAAATGCATTTAATGGATTAAATCATATGCAATTTAAATTAATGTTAGATGAACTTAACATTGACAGTTCCGTTACACAAATGATGTTAAAAGACTATTCAAATTACAAGAACATCGAATGTCTCGAGATACTAATAACAACACAAGAAATAGAGCCCGAAATATTTCAGACACTCAAACACTTGATATTTGTCAAATGAGCACCAATGTGGTTTCAGTTCATGAAAAATTCAAAGATAGAAGTTGCATTAATTTTAAATGGAATAGAAGAATTATTCAAAAGAGAACTGTTTGGAATAAACTCATTAACGTTTTTGTCGATACCAGACAGCGTCGATGTTATCCAGCCTGGGGCTTTAGCATGTTGCGCACAACTGAGAAATGTGAAGTGTGGTTTAAAATATTTCATAATTTTGATTAAAAAAATATAAAAATGTTGACACTTAATAATGAAATTAAAGAGTTATAACATCTTAATTTTGGACTAGTCAATTGAGAAAAGTTGGTCATACCAGAAACAACTAAAATAATGGACAAAACAATATTCGTGGACTTCAAAAAGCTTGTGAATGTTAATATAAAGGATGCTAAACAATTATTGAATAACAAAGTGAGTATCAAAGATGGTACAAAAACCATTTACAAAAAAGACTTTGAAGTGTGGACTAACATCAAACGTCTTGAAATTCCGATTTCGGTTACAACTATTGAATTAAACACTTTTAACAATTGTGTGTAACTCAAACATTTGAAATGTAAAATTCAATGGTTTAATCTACTGCCAACAAACAAAGTTGAAACTATTTTTTTCATTGGTAACATCACACAACTTTGTGGAAACTTATTTGAACAATTTTACAATTTGTTGATACTCTTTTTACCAGACAGCGTCGTTGGTATTGACCCAACTGTGCTGAACTGTTGAGTTTTCTTATAATAATACGATGTAATTCCCTTGCCTGCCGTAATCTGTCTCAAAAGACTAAGAAACGAATAAACCATCCAACACAAGAAGAATACATCCAACACAATTACAACTTCGAACAAGAAAATTACATCAAATTTAACTTCAAGACACCGGAATTTGAAGTTGGCAACGACAACTTGGATTGTATTTCTCTGAATATTTCAGAACAAAATTCAGGTGGATTTATAACGGACAAGGAAGATAAATATGGTTTAGGAGATAACATGTTTCCATTTGGTGTGACGGTCTCAATTGTTTTAGATATCTTTGCGAATATACTCTCGAAAATTCAAAACCCAGAAGAGTTCCAGGACATCGCTTTGGAGATGGTCCAAACGGCTTGGAGCGTTTTTTTTCAGTCGACTTGAGAATTCCATTAAAAAGTGTTCAGACATGGCTTTTTGTCAATCAGAGTACAGCAACTTTCTTCATGAACTGAGTGCATGGCTCCCTCTTCAGAGTACAGATCTTGTGAAATCCCAGACGCATATATTCGGCAAGTTAGTTAAAAGAATAGATTGTGGTGAAATTGCAATCATTGGAGGTATCACAATCGCATCAATTGGAATTTCAGTCTTCTTCCCACCAGCAGCGCCTTATGTTCTTGTAGGAGCTGGTGTAATGCTTGAAGGAGGGTTGGAAGTGTATCAACAACTAAAAATGGAGATGACATCAATTGGACTGCAGTACTTATTAAATCTGGTGCTGGTGCTATAAAAGGGGCAATTGCAACAAGTGGACTTGGCACAGTATACTCAGGACTTGCGATTGGAGGTACAGGAGCTCTCGAGAATTTATTATACTCAGCGGCTACGGGAGATATCAAAAAGATACAATAAGTGACTCACTGATTGGAGGAGGGCTCGAGGGACTTACTTCTGGAGCACAAGAATGGCTGGGTGGTAAACTGTTCCCAGAATCAGTGGGTGGTGGATTGGCTCGAAAATTTAAAAGTAAATTTGCTCAAGCGGAAATCGACGATTTATTATCGAAGATATCAGACAGTATTGAAGATAAGTTGACGAACAAAAAAGACTGGGATTCTAAATAAGCCATTTTAAAGTATTATTTGTAATAGTATTATACTAATAAACAATAGTTTTTAAGTAATTAAAAATGATGAAAATAAAATTAGATTGTTGTTATTCTCTAAATGTTAATAAATATATATACATATCTATAAATTAATTAAGACAACGTGGCCGAGTGGTCCAAGGCGTATGACTCGAAATCATTTCTCATTTGAGGCGTAGGTTCAAATCCTGCCGTTGTCGTTTTTAATAATAATAGTTTTATTTTTATTTATGTTTTTTTAAATATAATTATTGTTTTATTTGTTTATATTTTTGAGGTTTTATTATTAATAAAATACCAATTATTATCTTTTTTAATAACAATTACTGGGGTATATGGTATAAACGTAAATAAAATAAAAACAAAGAATATTCAATAATATTGTTACTTATCAATCACCACCCCATAAATAGCATTTATCTGCTTCATCAACACTTTCATTTTCACTTTCTTCACTTTGAATATATTCTTCATCGCTTTCATCTGAAACATCTTGTTTTATGGTTTTTTCAACTTTTATTTTTTGTTTAGAGTATGTCTGTTTCACACTTTCCTCATCTCTGTTTATCAATGTTAAAACAAGCTCAAATTTTGGGATATTTCCCATAAACCGATAGTCAACAGTGTATAATACTGTATCACAAATATATTTAGTTTCAAATTTTATTATCTTGTTTTGTGGGAAAACAATTGTTTTATTGATGTCGATTTTTTTTAAGTCGTTCTGTGTAATTACAATCAGACAAACATGTCACAAAACACTCCTTTTTGTTATCAAAATTGTTTATTTCGTATTTCACACCTTTAAAGACGTAAGTGTTTACACTTGGGATATCCACCCTTTTAAATACTAAATTATTGATACTCAACTTCGATATATAGAAATTTGAAGTCAATAAACCACCCTTTCTCAACACAAACTTCGGCTTTTCCTTTTCAAAATTCCCAAATTTGAGCTCGAAAGTTACATTCTTGTGACTCAAGTCGGCTTTACAATTTTCAACATGGAGATCAACAAATAGCGTTATTTCTCCTTTATAAATCTCGTTTTTAAGAACAAACCCCTCCATCAATTTTTCAATGTTCTTGTTGTTTTGTTCGGTTTTAATAATATCATCTTGAACATCATATTTTTTCGACTTTTTCTCTTTAAAATTTCCAATAAAATTGATGTCAAAAATGAGAGTTTTACCTTCAATGAATGCGTCGATGTCAATCTGGAATAGATCAGGTGCCCCTATCATATTAAAAATATTGTCAGAGACATGGTAGTTTTTACTATGTTTATTCATTATGGTTTGAAAGTCGTTTGCAAAATGGTGAAAGTTCTTTAGAAATTTCTCAGAGTCAAAAACATCACCGATGACATTAACTTTAATCTTGGACACACTTCCAGATAAAAAAAGAGTTTCTAAAACATCTATTTTTTCAATTTGAGTTATTTTATAATCATAATCATTTCTTTGCATTTTAAAAGAAAAGTGCATTTCTTCTTGTATCATAAATGGTACTTCTAAATTGTCTTCATTAAATTGTTCATCTGTATTTTGTTCTTTACTGGAGTTCAAATTAATTTCTATTTTTCTTGTTCTTAAAGCGTTGACATCGATTTGTAAAATTCTCAAATTTTTGTCTTCATAATTTGGAGTGTCTTTGGCGACTACAGTAAGATGACATGCTTGTGAATTGCTCGAAATTGTTTTTATTAAATTTATATCTTTTTTCTCTAAATTTTCGTTGATGATATATACAATGACTTTTGTAATGTTTTTGAAACTCAACACATCTTTTAATTTATCCAAATCTATTGTATTAAATTGCTCGATAATTAAATAGTTAAGGTAAAAGTATTTTGCTAAATTTTTAATGTCGTACGGGAAAATTCTCAACTTTTGAATTTTGTCTTCAAACTGTGGTGCAATTTTTTCACATCGTGTTGTTTCCTTTGTCGAATCAATCCATCGAACTTTGTTAATTAAGTCGCCTTTCAGTTCATTTGTGGCGTTTTCCATAGAGAAGAAAACTGTATTAAGTTGAGGGAGTACCCGTACAAGGTACTTCATCCCAACACACAGCTTCGGTGGATTTATGTGAAGCATTTCAAGTGCGGTCACACAATTTTTTGAAACACACTGAAATGTTTCAAATGAAGAAAACCTGTCAATATATATCGCAACATTTGCTAAGTAGATTGGCTCGAGAATGTACAACTCCCATTTGTT